TTCAAAAAGCCTACTCTACAACACTGTATTTCTTGACCTCTCTCTGAAGCCGGTACCACTGTTTATCCATTTTCTTGACATTTTATCAGATTCTACGTAGACTCTCTCATATTGCTGGGTTCTTTTGGTGTCCCTTCAAACTTCCCTCTATGATTTTCCTCTACATTTTCATCAGCATTTCTCAAATAACTACACTACCATATTTTTGTGGATGCCCTTCAAATACAGATTGGTGCCCGGTTTAGGAGTTTTTTACTTTATGATGGTGCGAAAGAGATACACAACACATTCAGTAGACGTTGTACTTTGAGTACCCATACATTCTGTTTTTCACTTTCAGTAGTCAGTAAGTTGCATGATATATTCAACACTTTATTATAAAATAGGTTTGTGTTTGATGATCTTGCCCAAATGTAGGCCAACGTTGGTGTTCCAAGCACGTTTAAGGTCGGATAGGCTGAGCTATGATACTCGGAAGACTGGGAGTATTAAATGGCTTTTTAACTCATGATATTTTCAATTTACATTAGGTTATCTGACTGTAATCCTATCGTAAGTGGAGAAGCATTTATACACCTCTTTATTTCCATGGCTTTTCCCCTCTAGATTTTAAACAGTGTAGTCCTACTTCAGATTAAATTAGCTTCCTCATTTTTGCTCTTTTCCCTAGCATTGAGGAAGACACTACTTGTTACAGACTTAAAACTGAAATCTGAAGTTCCTCAGCCTTCCGTTTACAACCTCTGCCAAATCTATTCCTTCCACAGCATCAAAGAATGTAGTAATTCTTTCCTTTATCTCTCCCCTGCCTTGTCAAACTGTGGCCATATTATGGAATCTGTCAGTTTTCCACCGGTGTATCTTCTAAATACACCAGTGAAACTCATCTCCTTGTCTGAAGGTGGAAACCATTAGAGTTTTAAACTATACGTTATCTATACGGGATTGCTAACATCTCAAATCCCCAAAATGGTCTAATATAAAACTTACTGACTATACCAAGCTCTGCCATCGTATATATATATGGCTTCACAGGACATAATTTGATTCGTGATGTGACATACCCTAATTATAAACTCCTCAGACTCTATTTTTACTGCATTTGTTGCAACCAACCTAACTAAGGCAATGCATCTCAGCAAAGTGTCCCCGCACAAAACAGGTGAAGTCTATAATCCAGGGATCTGACCCTGTGAGCCAAGACACAACTAAACAGAATTTCGTTGACATGTGTGCAAGCCTGGGTTTTACTGCCCCGTTCTAGAAGAGGATGCTAAAGTAAAGGCACGACTGTTGACGCTAGAACTTAACCCGCACGCATTCACCTCAAAACGTGAGAATACTAATAACCGCTCTAGAATCTCACAACGTGGCCCCAAAATGTGTTTGAGTTCCATTACCGATACCCAGACACCTTCCAGATTCACTTAGACGTTCACCCTCGAAGCCTTTTATAATTAAGTAGCTTCGCATCGCTTACTTTCTGATCGCCAAAATGCGTCTCGCATTTTAAATACCCTGTCCCTGGGTGCCTTTTCGTATTTCTCCCAACCCCCTTAAAGCACCTTCCTTTCCCGGCGCGCAGGGCTCGTCCCTCCAGGGCTGCGCTCCATCCCGCTCGGCGTGACAACAAAGGCGAGGGGCCGCAGCCGGTCCCGGGCGCCTCAGCCGGTCCCGCGCGCCGCAGCCGGTCCCGCGCGCCTCAGCCGGCGTCGCCGGGCGCGGGGACGGCCAGGGCGCCGGCGGCCCTGCGAGCCGAGCGGAGCGCCTCAGCCGCCGCCAACAGCCCGGTTACAGTGTCGCCCGCGCCCCGTCATCGGCCTCCGCCGGGCCGGGCCGCTCGCGGAGCAGCCAACGCCTCGAGCCCGGCGAGTCTCCTTCGGATCCCGGGCCGAGCCTGCTCCCCGCGCCCCGCCGCCGGCCGCCGACCCCGGCCCGGCGAGCCCCGCTCCACCCGCCCTAGGCCCCGGATGTGACGGCACCGTCGCCGCCGGCGCTCGCCCCCCGGGACGAGCGCGGGGGGATCCCGGAAAGGCGGCCTGCGGAGGGCGTCCTCCCGGCGCCGCCAGCCACCACGTACCCAAGTGAGGAGGCTCTCGCACAGCTCCACCCGCTCCACCGACTCCACGCTGAACATCGTCCCCGCGGCGCTTGGCGGCGCCGCCCGCAGCCAGACGCCGCCGCTCGGCCTGGGCTTGCTCGGAGGGCCCGCGCGGCGGACTCGGCCTCGGGCCCACCTGCTCCGCGGCCCGGCTCCCGACCGTCGACCCGGCGCTGGCAGCGGCTCCCACGGCGTCACCCCGGTGCCCCTCCTTCTGCTCCCGCTCGGGGCCGCGCGTCCCGGCCACGCCCGTCGCCCCGCGTCCCCGCCCCGCGCGGTCCGCAGGCTCCTCCCGAGAGTGGCCGGGCCGGGCGGACGCGCCGCTGCGCACAACCGCGCGCCGCCGCCGCCTGCTGCGTGTGGCGGCGCGCGCGCGCCCGGGCCTGGCAGCGCGTCCCCGTCGGCCGTCCGCGCGCGACTCGCGGAAGCTCGGCAGTGCGCGTGCGCCGGCGCCCGCTCTCCAAGTTAGAAAAGACACGGCTAGTGGTTGCCCGGGAAGGGTGGCGGGAGCAGCCCCCGGAAACAATCCCTGTCCTCCGTCTCCGGGCACTGGCGAGGTCGCGCCTCCGCGGGGCCGAGGTACGCGCCCCTCCCCCCAGCCCCCGGGCCGCGGCCTGGGCGCCGAGCGCGCGCCCGCCACGCCCACCCGCTCGGCCCCGACCCGCTGGGGGCCGCCCGCCGCCGGGCTTGAGGGGGTCGGGGCGTCGCCGCCTCCTACCCCCGGGACTCCGCCTTCCTTCGGGCGTCCGCGGGCTGAGCCCCAGAGCCGCCCCGTTCCGGTCCCGAGTCGCCCGGAGGCGGCGGAGGGGCCGGCGTGGAGGCGTCCCGGCGGCTCGAGGTGGGCTGGGCGCGCGGCGAGGGAGCCCGCCGGTCCTTCTCGGCTCGCCGGGGCCGCGACTCTGGAAACTTCACTTCAAGAGACGGTGCGCGCCGGCCCGCCGATCCGTGGGGACCGCGGCCGCCCCGGGGCCTGCTTCTCCCGGCGGCGAGGCCGCCTCCCGGATGGGGAGGCGGACGGTTCTCGACCCTCACCTTTTTAGAGGCACGGATCTCTACAGGCTACGGATAAATTGGTAGCCAATAAGGTATATATATGCAGCCAAGTGCATAAGGCATATATGTTTAAAGAATAATTAGTAAAACACCCCGATAAAAAGCATTACCTGCACCCCAGGAGTTGCCTCACCCAGACATACCCTGAGTTCCTTTCTGAGCATAATTTTTTCCTTAGCCTGAATTTTTGATGGTCACTTTATTGCTTTACCTCATAGCTTTACTATCTATGCATGCAATAGAGCTTTCCTTTGCCTGTTTTTGAACTTTCATGGGTGGAATCAGACTGTGTTTTGGGGCTTTCACTTTATATTAAATTTGTGTGCTGTATATAGGTAGTTTTCACCGCTGTCTAGTCTTTTATTGGGTGAATATAACAGTGTATCCATTCTGCTGTTGATGGACGTTTTGTTCCAGCTTGGGGCCACTCAGGGTGATGCTATAAATATTCTTATACCTGAGCCCTAGTGCAAATGTGCTGGGAGTTTTCAAGACTCTCTTGGAGTCCTAAGAGAATTGTCGATTGATAGGGTGTGCATCACTACCAAATAATGCCAAACGTTTATTTGGAGTGTCTCAAAGCTAACTTCCTGGAATGCATCTTCACTTTGGTTTGCAGTTCCCAGAACCCACCCGCCCCCTTTTCCCATTAAGAGTAGGTTTTGACATTGAGTGCTCAGAACTGCCAAGACACCATTGAGTTTTTAAGGGTGCCTTACGGAGTACCAGTTAGCAGTTCAAACCTGAGGATTTATCATTTTGTGAATGTGGAAGAAAATCTTACTTGAAGTCTTTTCAATGGTCTTTCATTCAAACATTCTTGGGCAGGGAAACCTTTAGAAATTATAGGTATATATTTCATCTGCCTTTGTTTGTTTCCTCTGTCGGTGCGTCTGGGTGTTTGTCAAACCAGAGTTCCCACATTCTGTACTCGGTTGTTTCTGTCGAATCCCTGTCACTTTGAGTGACCTGCACCGTGGTTAGGCAAGTGAATGAAGTCAGTAAGTATAGTTACACTGACTTAGGCCTGACCAGCATGCAGCTTGTCTTTGAATGTGGAGACACGGTGTCTTATGCTGGAATGTCTGTGGAGGCGTGAGCACCTTTACTGTAGATGTTCAGGTTTTCAAAGCTTTGACACAATTTTAAATTGTTTAAGTTTGACTGGTTATCCAGAATGCTTTTGTGCTTGATGGTGCAGTGTTCTTGGGGTTTCATTTTGTAGCTCCAGTTAACCCTTGATGAAGGAAATTTTATTAAGAGCTCCTTGGATGTGAGTAATTATTTGTAGAAGCCATGTAGCCATCAAGTTTCTACATGAGCTTGGGACAAAAGACTCTGAGGATTTGTTTCAGGAAGTCCTGGAGTTTTCTATTTTCCCCTTATTTTTCTCTATTTTTTTTTATCCCTTCCCTGAAAACTTTGGAAATGACCAAAAATGAGTTGAACTTGTCTTAGCTGTCTCCTTACCCCAGTTAGTTGGAGGCTGATTCTCATCCACAGACGTTTGTCAGATTCAAGTGATGTGGCTGTGTCCCGTGTGGCAGTGCTCCCAAATGTGTCCCGTCTTCCCAGGGGACACACAGAGCTCTGATTAAAGAGAATTTGAGATGCTATGAAGACATGGCTAAGTTTTATCATGGCTCTGCTGATTCCTTGACAGTTGTTAATAATCAAAGTGTTATTATAGCTTCCATCTACTGAGAGCCTATACAGTGTGCCAAGCAGTATGTTAAATGTTTTACTGTCATTATCTCATACTCCACAAGGCAAAGTTTTTTTTTTTGTGGTTTTTTTTTTTTTTTGCTAAAAAAAGTGGCAGCTTGATATGGTTTAGCCAAATTTTATGTATTTTACATATGAGGAATCTGAGACTCAGACTTTATGTGAGTACACAGTTGTCTGACTCCAAAGCTTATGCTTCTTTGCTGTATAAAGGAACTCCTCAGGAAGACTTAAGCCAGCTAAGCAGTAATAAAGCCAGCTCCTCTTTAGGCTTCTACACACCACACAGTTTCCAAGATATAAGGTGTTTTGTTTTTGTAAATCTCAAACAGCTAAAAACAGAGTATGAGTAACTCTTATTTTCATATATGACAGGATTCCATGAAGCCATTACCACGTTGTGTGCATTTAATAACCTTGTTTCTGGGTTTCATGTAGGCAGCATTTAGTGGCCCCTACAACATGAAGACCCTCTGCACTACTCAAGGAAATAAGATGTGGTTCTTATTGAAAGGAGTTCATTTTTTTAAAGTTTATTTTTAATTTTTATGGATGCATTATAGTTGTACATGTTTATGGGGTACATGTGATATTTTGATACAAGCACACACTGTGTAATAATCAACTCTGGGTCCAAAAACCCCTGCAACAAAACCTTCAAATAACATGAAAAATAAATAAATAAATCCAGTGAGATGTTATTTTGTATGCTTGGAACTGTTTAACATTCTATGATTAATAATCAAAAGTTTTGAAAGTAAAGCAATTAAGCACAATATATATTTTAAAATTCAACTATAATCAATTTTGGGTGGGTTATCCATAAATATTTGGCATCTGTATAGACATTATTTTGAGTAATGTCTTAATAAAGTTCATGATGGAGGGAAAGGGTGTGGGGATTGACATGCCCCATGGCCAAGTGTGGGAGCCTCCTATTGGCCTCACTGAGATATTTAGGAGGCACCAGGGGGAAACAGAGGGCGTAGGCAGGAGGCAAGAAATGGCATTAAATGTGCATTGAAAACTGATTGCATCTCTAGGGAGGAAGCTAGTACTGGCTTTATTTCTCTTGTTTAAAGTAATAGGTACTTGAAAGAATTCAAATTATAAAACTGTGTGCTAGGAATGCTAAAGGTCTGGCTCTCCTGGTCCAGCTCCCCACTCATAACCACTTTAACCTCTGGTTTTTATCTTACCTGACTCTTTTTTTTCTTCCAAAACTCTGAATCAGAGAAATGTGGTAGAAGGAACTAAGAAATCATCAAATCCAACTTTAACATTTTGCAGAAAATGAGCAGTCCTCATAGATTAAGTGGGGTTACAGTTGTTAACTTAAAATTATTAAAGAGGTCAGAATCTAGTTTAAAGAGAGTTTAAGTGTAAAGGTTGAGGACTGGCCACCCGGGAAAGTACAGATTTTGAAGAATGGAAGTCAGTGTTCCAAAGTGTAGAAGTATGGGATTGTTTATACAGACAAAGTTTAGGGAAGTTTAAGAGAATTTTAATATCTTTTTATGTAAGGCTGTACAGTTATAACGATCTGATTAGCTGAGATGGTCTGTTTTGTTGCAGGGTGGGGAAAGTATATTTAACATTTTACACTGAAGATGTCACTGTTACAGGGTCCCTGTTTGGGGCACTATGTGGTTTGAGTTAGATACAGGACAGTAAAGGAGGCAGTTAATCTATAATAAATATCCGTGATTGGAAGGGCGAAATCTGATCTCTGATCATGTTTAGACATTTATAGAACAAGAACAATGAAGAGAGTTAAACTATAATCTGAGAAGCAGAATTGTATAACATGTTACGTAACTCAGATCACAGTAACATCTCTCTCAAGGTTTAAAGTGTTTGGGGGGGTTCTAACAGTTTTTAAATTTATTTTTACACAGTTTTTGTAGCAGAATTGGAACTAAAATCCAGGGCTCTTAATGTCTAAGCAGCAAATGTCTGGGCTTCACTTTAGATCGTATGCTATTGGACAAAATCAGTAGTGCTGTTTAGTTTTAGATAAGCACTGACTGTGAAAAACAAAAGTTGGAGAACTAAAGTTCAGATTGATTTTGGAATTCATTTTCAAGACAGCAAGTGGAAATTTTCTTTTTATTGTTTTATCCCCTGTAGTTTTAAATCAGAGCAGCCTTTTTCCAAAATGAAGTAGTGTTTTTAATACCTCATTTTTGACCCACTAACACCTACAGTTTCTTTTTTACTCTGATTGTAGGAAAAACTAAGACAGTTTCTTCAAAACTATTGAAGCCCCAAAGTCGGTCAAACAAAGTTAGTGGATCTCAACTGACAGCCCCAGATTTAGTTGGGATTTTCAGGTGACAGGAAAATACAGTGGGCTTCTCTGTTCCTCTCAGCAATATTGAGAACTTCTGCTGTACGATGATGCAAATAAAATTATGTGGCCATGCAACACTTAAAGTATCCTGGATTTCTGAGCTCTTGGAAGTGTGCATGAAGCGCTATCTTAAGGGTATAATTGCATAGAATTCAGTCGCATTAACACTAATTGCACCTGGAAAGACATAGAAACAAATGTAATGCATTTTTTTTAAAGTACAAAGTAGTAAACTGCCTAAATGTATAGAATAGGAGAAAATGTAAGCAGTAAAAATTATAATACATTTGTTGGTGTACTCAGTTTACAAAATACTTTTGCCTCTGTTAATTTGGTTTAACCATCACAACTCTGTGAATTAATTAGAGGCTGGGAATCTTGACACAGGAAATAACATTTTGTTTATCTTTGAGCAGATGCAAGTAGTTCTCACTGCCCTTAGGACTTTTGACACAATCATAGAATCTCAAATTCAAAAAGACGGAACTTAAAATAAAAATCTGTTGATTACATGGCCCACTCCTAGATTATTTGAGGTTCTCTCTTCAGTTTCAGTTGGGCAGTTTGACTATTCTTTTGAATGAATATACTGAAATTAGAGCTCTTTCCCTGAGATTCTTGGTGTGCACATCATAATGGGTATTTGAAACCTGTCATTAGAAAGTTCCTGATGTGTCAGGCTATTACTATGTGTAAAGCTGAAGAAAATGGCCTTTGATCTGTTTGTTTGCTTAGGTTTCTTCCATGAGTGGCAATATTCTTACTAGTAGCCAGTTCAGATTCTTTTCAAAGGTATAAACACTTTCACACTCAAAATACCTGATTAATGATAATATTGGATAAACTCTTTTCAGTTTAATAAGTTACATAAGTACAGAACTTTAATTATTAATATCTCATATTTAATTGAATATTTATTTCCTTTATTTCCCTTTAGATATCTCGTAAGACTTTGAACTTTACTGTTTTATTATCTGGAAAAAATATGAATTACCTGTGATATTTAGACTCCAATATGGTTGGGCTATCTCCCCTCATACCTACAGAATTGGGGGTTATCCTTTTGCTCTAGTTTAGAGTATGGGAAGGAGAGTTTCATATCCTCCCTTTTTTCTTCATAAGGAAATGCAGCCTCAGAGTGATTCTATATTCCAGGCAGTTCAAAGAATTCTGAATTGTAACCTGAGCTTAGTTTCAGGTGAGGCTAATAGTTTTTCAAGTACCAAAATTTTCATTAATTCAAATAGTCTTGATGTAAATATAAATATCCTATACCCTAAGTGTGTTTTGCTTTTCAAATTACTATAAACATGGAAAGTCACAGTTACTTAAACGAATATTTACCTGGTTCTACCATGTACAGGACATAAGCTAGGTAATATAGGAATGTTTACATAAGACTACAATATATTTCCCTTCCCATCCATACATGGCAAATTCTATAAGACATTAGTGCTATGAGGGAGAAGAGGTATCTGATCTACTTGGAGAATTTGTCTGTTATTCAGGAATAAGGAAAGAACAGTTGGGCAAGAATGTCTTTTTTCTTAAAGGAGTTAAGCTTGAAGAAGAAAAACTATTTTTAAAAATTTTATTTAAAAAATATAAATGGATGATACATTATAGTAATTGTTTTTCTTAAAGGAAATAGAATTTTGTACTTCCCAAAATAATGTGTCTGGAAAATTGTAAAGAACTCAGTGATAGGACACTACCTCCTGGAGTTGTACTGAATGCAGTCTACCTTATGTGGGTGGTACAGAAATCAAATGTATTAGAAATCAGTTATATTTATATTGCTTTTATTGGTATATTTCATTTTTACTACGTCACTTATAACTTTTTTCTTATTTCTTCATATTTTAGACCTGTAATGGCCAGATATCAAGGTGAAGTTCAGAGTTTGAAACTGGATGATGATTCTGTTATAGAAGGAGTAAGTGACCAAGTACTTGTGGCAATTGTGGTCAGTTTCGCTTTGGTTGCTACCCTGGTATATGCACTTTTCAGGTGAGACTAAAGGACAAAATTGTATATTTACAAGGGCCATTGACTTTTTGCCTCCTAGTAATATGTAATACTTAATATGAAAAGCAAATGATAGATGTTAGTGACTGTAGATATTTACTAAGATATTTTATTAATATTTTCCACTGGACTCTGAATACTAACATATATTTTTCCTGTCATTAACTGTCTTATCAGATAATATATAAATTCATCATTCATATTTTAAAGCTGGGCATTGTGGCTCATGCCTGTAATCCTAGCACTCTGGGAGGCCGGGGTGGGAGGATTGTTGAGGTCAGGGTTTCAAGATGAGCCTCAGCAAGAGCAAGATCCCATCTCTACTAAAAAAAAATAGAAAGAAATTAGCTGTGCAACTAAAAATAGAAAAACAAATTAGCCTGGCATGGTGGTATGCACCTATAGTCCCAGCTACTTGGGAGGCTGAGGCAGGAGGATTGCTTGAGCCCAGGAGTTTGAGGTTGCCGTGAGCTAGGCTGATGCCACAGCAACAGAGCAAGACTATCTCAAAAAAAAAAATTTTTTTTTAAATAATTGAATCCATCAACTTGTAGGTGATACAGATAATTAGTGCAAAATATTTTCAGTTTTTAAGTGGAAAAACTGAGGTAGAAAAAGACCTGGAAAGTTTAAAGAGAATTGAGATTAGAATTAATTTTATTTTACTTATTAGTTATTTATTAATATTTTATTTTTTAGAGAAGGGGTCTTGCTACGTTGCCTAGGTTGGACTTAAATTCTTAGGCTCAAGCAGTCCTCCTACCTCAGCCTCCTAAGTTCCTGGAACTACAGGCACATGCTACTACACCAGCTCTTTTTTTTTTTTTTTTAATTTCATCATATTAGCGGGGTAAAAATGTGTAGGTTGCATATGTTGCCTTTGCCCGGTGGAGTCAGAGCTTCAAGTGTGTCCATACCCAAGACGGTATACACCACACCCATTAGGTGTGGATATACCCATTCCCTCCTCCTCCGCCACTTGCTTGACACCTGATGAGTGTTACTACTATATGTGCACATGAGTGTTGATCAATTAATACCAATTTGGTGGTGAGTACATGTGGTGCTTGTTTTTCCATTCTTACGATACTTCACTTTGTAGAATGGGCTCCAGCTCTATCCAGGGTAATACGAGAGGTGGTAGATCACCAATGTTTTTTTGTGGCTGAATAGAACTCCATGGCATACATATACTACATTTTATTAATCCACTCATGTATTGATAGGCACTTGGGTTGTTTCCACATCTTTGCAATTGTGAATTGTGCTGCTATAAACATTCTAGTGCAGATGTCTTTTTTAAGAGTGTCTTTTTTTTCTTTGGGTAGATGCCTGGTAATGGGATTGTTGGATCAAATGGTAGTTCTACATTTAGCTCTTTGAGGTATCACCATATTACTTTCCATAGAGGTTGTACTAGTTTGCAGTCCCACCAGCAGTATATGAGTGTTCCTGTCTCTCTACATCCACGCCAACATTTATTGTTTTGAGACTTTTTGATAAAAGCCATTCTCACTTGAATTAAGTTTAATTAATCTCAATTAGCTCTTATAGAATCAGGAATAATATTTAAAAGTCTCATGTCTATATATCAATATGCAGGGACTAGGTAATAAAGTAGAAATTTAAGAGTTAACACATGAAGATAAGTAAAATTTTACATATATCATTGAAAACAGAAATGAAAAAAGGACAAAATTAAAAAAGGTTAATTCTAAAAATTGCAAATCAGTATGTTTTCCTGTAAAAATTGTAGGACTTTTTTTTGTTTTGAGACAGAGTCTCACTCTGTTGCCTGGGTTAGGAGTGCCATGGCGTCAGCCTAGCTCACAGCAACCTCAAACTCCTGGGCTCAAGTGATCCTTCTGTCTCAGCCTCCCGAGTAGCTGGGGGACTACAGGCATGTGCCACCATGCCCAGCTAATTTTTTCTATATTTTTAGTTGGCCAATTAATTTCTTTCTATTTTTAGTAGAGATGGGGTCTTGCTCCTGCTCAGGCTGGTTTTGAACTCCTGACCTTGATCAGTCCTCCCGCCTCAGCCTCCCAGAGTGCTAGGATTATAGGCATGAGCCACTATGCCTGGCCTGTAGAAAGGATTATTAAACAAAATGTGGACACTTGAAAAAGTGATTAATTTACTCTTTTACCTCTACATTGATAGTCTCTTTCATTTCTTTCTTTCTTTTTTTTTCTTTTTGAGACAGTATCTCACCCAGGTTGGTGTACAGTGGCCTGACCATACTTCACGGTATCCTCGGGCAGAAGCAATCCTCCTGTCTTAGCATCCTGAAAAGTTGGGACTATAGGCATATGCCACCATGCCCAACCATTTTTTAAAATTTTTTGTAGAGATGGGGGTCTTACTATGTTACCCAGACTGGTCTCAAACTGCTAGCCTCATGCAATCCTCCTGTCTCAGCCTCCCAGAGTGTGGGATTACAGGCATAAGTCACCTATGCCTAGCTTGATAGTCTCTTATTATCATAACATTTTTTTTTTTTTTGAGACAGAGTTTCACCCTATTGCCTGTGCTAGAGTGCCATCGTATCAGCCTGGTTCACAGCAACCTCAAACTCCTAGGCTCAAGCAATCCTTCTGCCTCAGCCTCCCGAGTAGCTGGGACTACAGGCATGCGCCACCATGCCCGGCTAATTTTATCTATATATTTTAGTTGGTCAATTAATTTCTTTCTATTTTTAGTAGAGACAGGGTCTCACTCTTGCTCAGGCTGGTTTCTAACTCCTAACCTTGAGCGATCTGCCCACCTCAGCCTCCCAGAGTGCTAGGATTACAGGCATGGCCCTTACTATCGTAACATTATCTTAATTTCAATAGGGTATTCTACAGAGTGATAATCCAGAGTCACACTGGTGACACACTTGTAGATATAATGAGGGGAATGATGCATTTATGGTCAATTGTTCTTTGACAAAGGTGCCAAGACCACACAGTGGGAAAAGAATAGTTTCTTCGATGAAGAGTATTGGGAAAATTGGACATCTATATGCAGAAGAAGGAAATTGGTTCCTTATCTCACACCATTTACAAAAATCAATTCAAAATGGATTAAACACTAAAACATAAGACTTGAAACTTCTAGAAGAAAAACATAGGGAATAAGTTTCTTAACATTAGTCTGGGCAATGATTTTTTTTAATATGACCGCAAAAGCACAGGAAACAAAATCAAAAATAGATAAATGGGATTGCATCAAACCAAAAAGCTTCTGCACAGCACAGGGAACAATCAATAGAGTGAAGAGACAACCTACAGATTGGGAGAAAGATATTTGTAAGCCATACACCTGGTAAGGGATTAATACCCAGAATATGTAAGGAACTCAAACTTGACTTAAAAATAGCATAAAAACAAATAACTCAATTAAAAAATGTTCAAAGGACCTGAATAGACATTTCTCAAAAGAAGTAATACAAATGGCCAACAATAGGTATATGAAAAAATGTTCAACATCACTAATCACCAGGGAAATGCAAATTAAAACCACAAAGATACTATGTCATATCTGTTAGAATGGCTATTATCAAAAAGATAGGGAAAAAAGATGAAAGGTAAGTCAAAAGATCTGTGTTGGCTAGGATGTGGAGCAAAAGGACCCCCCACCCCTCGTACACTGTTGGTGGGAGTGTGAAGTGGCACAGTCACTGTGGAAAACAGTGTGGAGTTCCTCAAAAAGTTAAAAATGGAACTAGCTGTATGATCCAGCAATTGCACTTCTGGATATATATCAAAAGGAAATTAAATCAGTATGTCAAAAAGATAATCTACACTCCTGTGTCATTTCAGCATTATTTACAATAGATAAAACTGGGATCAATCAAGTGTCTATCAGTGGATAAACAGATACAGAAAATGGGCACTATATGGGATGGAATACCGTCAGTCTTGAACAGGAAGTTATGCCATTTGCAACAACACAGACAGACCTGGAACAGAACAGAGACCTGTACTGACTGAAATAAGCCAGCCAGGAAGACAAATACTGCATAATCCCATTATACGTGAAATCTAAAGAAGTTGAACTCATAGAAGCAGGGAGTGGAATGGTGGTTGCCAGGGGCTGGGGAGATGTTAGGCAAAGCGTACAAAGTTTCGGTTAGGATGAATTTTAAAAAGAGAAAGAAAAATCACAAAACTGTAAGTAAAGTAGCCTATTACAGCTAAAATTCTAAGATGAATTTTATTTTTAAATATTTTTTCTGATTTCTCTACTATGAATATTTATTATTGATACTTATATAATAAAAGCTTTTTTCCTACAGACTGGAATGATGTGAAGCCCAAGCTAAAAAGTTTCCATTTAGTAGGACTATTGTATGTTGCAGATGCCAAAACCATAATGGTATGGGCTGCATTGATAAAAATAACCAGCTAAAGGCCACATCTGGATTATATTCTGTTTGGGACAAGCATTTTAAACTGGAAAACATTCAGGAGAGATTGTCAGAATGAGGAAAGCCACAGAAAAAAAATCATATAAAATGCTGGAACATGCTGGGGATATCTGGCGTAGGGAAAGGGACTGTTGGACATAAAAACTGTCTTTAAATGTGATGAGGGGCTGGGCGTGGTGGCTCATGCCTGTAATCCTAGAATCGGAGGCTGAGGCGGGCGGATTGCTCGAGGTCAGGAGTTCGAAATGAGCAAGAGCGAGACCCTGTCTCTACTATAAATAGAAAGAAATTAATTGGCCAACTAATATATATAGAAAAAATCAGCTGGGCATGGTGGCGCATGCCTGTAGTCCCAGCTACTCGGGAGGTTGAGGCAGTAGGATTGCTTGAGCCCAGGAGTTTGAGGTTGCTGTGAGCGAGGCTGATGCCACGGCACTCACTCTAGCCTGGGCAACAAAGCGAGACTCTGTCTCAAAAAAAAAAAAGAAAAAAATCTTTTTTTTTTTCTGAGCAGTAGATCTCGACAGTATGCTATCATCCAGGCTCTGTTGTTCCATGAACAGAACATGAATAGTGTATATTTTACCCAGTAAGTAATTTTCCATCCCTCATCTGCCAACCTCCCACTTTCAGAGTCCCCAGTGCCCATTATACCACTCTGTGTGACTGCACATAGCCATAGCCTGGCTCCACTTGTAAGTGATAACATATGGTGTTTGGTTTTCTGACCCTGAATTGCTTCACGTAGGTTAATGGGCTCCAGTTCCATCCACGTTGCTCCAAAAGACATTATTTCATTTTTTTTGTGTGTGTGGCTGAGTAGTATTCCATAATATATATCACATTTTCTTTATCCACTCATCAGTTGATTTGCACTTAGATTGATTCCATAACTTTTTAATTGTGAATTGTACTGAGATAAACATACAAGTGCAGGTGTCTTTTTGATATAATGATTTATTTTCCTTTGGGTAGATGCCCAGTAGTGGGATTGCAGGATTGAATGGTAGATCTACTTTTAGTTCTTTGAGAAATTTCCATACTGATTTCCATAGTAGTTTTAACTATTAAGTTTAATTCTGTGATGCGTTTTCATTTAATTTTCCTATATGATGTGAGCTAAGGGTCCATTTTGCATGTGGATATTCAGTCTTCCTGGCACCATTTACTGAATAACTGTAGTCTTGTTACTCTTATCAAAAATCAATTGACCATTGTCACAGTCAGTTTGGGTTGTTAAGTGACCATAGACTGGATGACTTAAACAACAAACATTGCTTTCTCACAGTTGCAGAAACTGGGAAGTCCAAGATCAAGGTGTTGTCAGGTGGTGTCTGGCAAGAGTCCACTTCCTGGTTTGCAGATGGCTGTTTTTCCTGTTGTAGCTTCACATGGCGGAGTAGACAGGAAGCAGGCTCTCTCCTGTGTCTTCTTATAAGAACACTAATCCCATCATTTGGGCACTGCTTTCATGACCTAATCACCTCCCAAAGGTCCCATCTCCAAATACTGTCACACTGGGGTTTAGGGTTTTAACATATAAATTTTGGCAAGGGGTAGGGGACACTAACATTCAGTCTATAGCAGCCACATATATGAGAGGTTTATTTCTGAGCTATATGTTCTATTCCATTGATTTAATATGTCCTTGTGACACTACTACCTTGTTTGATTACTGTAGCTTGTAGTAAGTTTTTGAATCAGGAAATGTGTGTCCTTTTATTTTCTTCTTTTTCAAGATTGTTTTGGTTATTTGGGCTTCCTTTTAAGATTCCATGTGAATTTTAGGATGAGTTTTTCTATTTCTATAAAGAATGCCATTGAGATTTCTATAGGGATTGCACTGAATCTGTAGATAGATCACTTGAGTTAGTATTTTTATCATTTTTTTCTTTTAAACAGAGTCTCACTCTGTTGCCCAGGCTAGAGTGCCATGGCATCAGCCTAGCTCACAGCAACCTCAAACTCCTGGGCTCAGGCAAGCCTCCTGCCTCAGCCTCCCAAGTAGCTGGGACTACAGGCATGTGCCACCAAGCCCAGCTACTTTTATATATATATATTTTTAGTTGTCCAGCTAATTTCTTTCTATTTTTTTAGTACAGACAGGGTCTCGCTCTTGCTCATACTGGTCTTGAACTCCTGAGTTCAAACGATATGCCCGCCTGAGCCTCCCAGAATGCTAGGAATACAGGTGTGAGCCACTGCACCCGGCCAGTATTTTTATCTTAACAATGTTAAGCCTTCCAACCTATGAACACGGGATATCTTTCCATTTCTACAGTGTTTTGTAGCTATAATTAATTTTTCAAAAATATTTTTATTTTTCCTTCTTAAGCTACTTATTTATTTATTTATTTATTTATTTAAGACAAGGTCTCACCCTGTTGCCCAGGCTAGAGTACAGTGGCATCATCATAGCTCACTATAGCTTCCAACTTCTGGGCTCAAGTGATCCTCCTGTCTCAGCCTCCTGAGTAGCTGGGACTACAGGCATGCACCACCATGCCCGACTATTTTTTTCTTTTTTTTTGGTAGAGATGGGGTCTCACGCTTGCTCAGGCTGGTCTTGAACTCCTGACCTCAAATGATCCTCCCACCTCGGCCTCCCAGAGTGCTAGGATTGCAGGTGTGAGCCACCATGTCTGGCCTCTATTATCAGATTTTAAAATGCCACATCTTTTATAGAAAGAAGACAAGGAACCTTCCAGTCACATGGTTCATTATCTGTACTGTGAAATGTCATCCTTATTTTTTTCCAATGAAAAGAAAATGGTTTTCTATTCTCAAAGGACAGAGAGATGCCATTTAGCTATTCACTGGTATTTAAATGAGATGGTTCCTGTGCTAAATTGGTTGCTTCTTGACAGAATAGAGATAGCTTTCATATAGAGATAGCTTTATTTCATAGATCATCTATTTAGTCATAAGAATGTAACTTATTCTAAAATAAGGAATCCATCAAAATTTAAGGGTTTTAAACAGAGTTCAAGTAGTTTCATTACATTTATGTTAAGCTTCTGTTTAGATATTTGACTTCAGATTGCTTTTATGTCTTCTCTGAAGTAATGGTTATATTTTGTCAGTTTTCTAAAATTTGCATTTTTTACTAAAAGTTGAATTATCATAGGATGGATTTACTTTTCCCTATCCCATTAGGATATTAGAGTTGAATACCGGCTTACTAAGAGATTAAAGGCTCTTCTACAGAGTAACCCTGAGACTGTGTAGACTTAACATATTGTTGTTCAAGACATTTAAATTTAGAGAAAACATTTATAGTCAAATGAAATTAAGCTGTGATTCAAATATAAATCTTCACCCCCACACTGCCAACCTGACCATCTACTTTTCAATACTCTCATGTCGTATTCCATCTGATTATGTCAGGCACTAACTTCTTGCCTTTGATTCTCATTTTAATTGTTAATGTCATTAGTGGTATGGGAAGTTTTGACTTTTCTACATTATATAATTTTAGGTTCTGTTCTTGTCCCCTTATACCTGAAAAGTTAGGAGAAAGACCTAATTAAATGTGGAAAAGTGTTCAAATGCATAATAATATGTAGAACTATATAACTGCTTATTTTGAAGGAATTCCACAGGGAAAAAATGTGTTAATTGCTCTTTGTATTATTTGTAAGCAATAACAACAAATCCTTAGGTATGAGGCCTCTGGATTCTTTAACTCGCCATTTTAACCTGGAATCAGCTAATGATCTGTGATCTGGGAAAAACTTGCCACAGAATAGCTTGGAATGTACAGTCCTGGAATTGAAGGGCAGTTGTATGCCATTGCTTACATTTATTAAGTTAACAGTAGTTCTAAGTTAAAAATTAGACCCATAAAGAAAATGGATTCATCTGACAATATTTTTTATTCAAAGTTTATTATATTCTTTTCAACAGAAATGTACATCAAAATATTCACCCTGAAAACCAGGAGCTAGTAAGGGTGCTTCGAGAACAACTTCAAACTGAGCAGGTACTGTTATATGAATATGCATTTATGTAAGGAGTAGATGATTGTTATAACTCCCTTTCCATATGGAATTATGAGGAAACATTAATAAATTACTTTTTGGAAATAGGCTTCTTTCCTGCTTTAAATTACCTTATTCTATAGATTGTATATTTTTAGATTGGGCAAATTGTCTAGTATTAATCTAGATGTTTTCATATTTTGATTATTATTGATTTGCCTTAAAAGACAGCAGTATAATTTCCTATAATTTATTAATGCAGCAGTAATCACTGTCTAATTGGCTTTAATGAGATGTAGTGTCAAAACTATTATTTCTAGTGTACATTCCCTAAGACCTACAGAGAAATTACTAGAAGGGGTAGCTCTTCTGGGCTGGGTCCTTTTTTCCCTTTTTCTTCGACGGTCAAAGTTAACAAAACTAGTTAAACAAAGAAGAAAGCTTCTCTGTCTCTTCTTAGCTTTTTACCAGTTTGAATCTCTAAGAATCAGAAATGTAATATACTTTATGGAGGCTGGAATAAGTAGGATTTGTACACCTTCATGCCCAGATAGTTAAGATCAAAATACAATAATTAAAAATTGCTTTCTTTGTCTTCAAAAGTGTTGCAAAAAAATTTATTTAGTTAAAAAAAATTGCTTTCCTACCTGATCAAACTTTAGTTCCAATAAGTTTTTAAACTTATCCATTCACCAAATATTTTTGAAATTCTACCATATGCCAGACATTTTCTAGGCATTGGGAGTTCAATTGTGAAGTATACAGATAAAAATTTCTACCCTTGTGGACCATAAATTAATTGATGTAAGAATAATTGAAGCATATCAGATATTAGTAGTACTCAGTTCCAGAATTACTGTTATCAATAATTCATGTTAGGATTGTGTTTTATAATTTACAATGTGCTTTCACAACTATCTTATTTAATCTTCAAACTTGATAAGTAAGGTAACTATTATTATTCCTATTAATATATCATTAAGATTTGCTTAAATTCTCACACTAGCAATTATATGAATAGGTTCAGTTATGTAGGAGTCCCAGATTGAGGGGAATCTTCCAGATTTCTTTGCAGCATTGCCCCATTCATCTACCTCATACCTTCCTCAGGCACGGCATAGAGCTCTTAGAGTTAGAACAAGGCTAGTGACCTACCTAGCAAATCTGTGCTGTCCAGTATGGCAGCAACTAGCCACATGTGGCTGTTTAAATCAGTTAAATACAATTTAAATTCAGTACTTTAGTCACAGTGGCCACATTTCAAGTACACAATGGCCACATGTGGCTCGTGGCTACTGTATTGGACAGTGCTGATAAAGATTTACATTATTGGCTAAGCGCAGTGGCTCACGCCTGTAATCCTAGCACTCTGGGAGGCCGAGGTGGGCGGATCGTTCAAGGTCAGTTCAAAACCAGACTGAGCAAGAGGAAGACCCCCTCTCTACTGAAAATAGAAAGAAATTAGCTGGACAACTAAAAATATATAAGAAAAATTAGCCGGGCATGGTGGCACATGCCTGTAGTCCCAGCTACTCCGGAGGCTGAGGCAGGAGAATCACTTGAGCCCAGGAGTTTGAGGTTGCTGTGAGCTAGGCTGATGCCACAGCACTCTAGCCCAGGCAACAGAGTGAGACTCTGTCTCCAAGAAAAAAAAAAAAGATTTCCATCATTACTAAAAGTTCTATTGGCCTGTTTATTGGATTTTTGTCAATTTCTAAAAAAAAATGAGAAAAGATGGAGAGGGGAACATTAGGTGCTGTACATTTTTTGTATGATTAAAAGTGACATAAATGACTATAATAACCTTGAATTACAGAATATTATGATAATTTAGGGCTGTTTTAGGAAATATGAAATTTTAATTATGCTTTTTTGGGTGGCAAAAATCTGATTCAATTAAGAACAGTTCATATTTATCAAATTTGATACTTTTTCCTATAATTAGATGTTTTTAATGCTAGCTACTTTATAAGATGTGTGCTGAGTGCTATCAAAACAGTTTTTCATAAATAAGTATTTAAAAAGATATACATTATGTACTAGTGCTAGACATTTTTCTAGGTTTTGAGGTACTACAAGTCTTACAGATAAATTCTTTACCTTCATGGTACTTATAGTCTAGTGGGGTCTTTGATATTTGGATGCTTCTCATACTGGTAATTCTACTTAACATTCCTGATCAATCACAACACTAATGTAACTGAGAAACATGTTAGTATTTACTTATATGACCGTGTGGAGGATTAAGTTCAAATTACCAGTGGTCTTAAAATTTTCTGCTCCCAAAATGACCAAACGTTCTTCTCTGAAAGTTTAATTTTGATCTCCTGTGAGGTACAGCACACATGCAACACTTGGTAAGAGGGTACGTGTTAAAATGAAGAAAGGTGTTATAAATGAAAATAAGCTATGTAGAAAATAGTTTGACATCTTATTCTTAGTGTATATATGGGCTCAGTCTTGCATTACTCAGAATAACTTACTTATTCCAAGAGAGTAAAAAGGAACTCCTGAGTCAATCTGAGCTTTTATCTTTAAATTGATTTCAGGAAGGTAGGTAGAAGTCATTCAGCTTAAATAAAGCAACAGTACAGCCTTCTAACTTTATCAAAATTATAAGACCTGTGATATTACCCATCTAAAATTTGGTGAAGATTACACACTATTGACTGTATTCTTAAATGTATTATTTAACATAAGATATTGCTGAGAACTTGTGTGTGTCACATGTAAACGTGTGCACGTGTTTTCCCATCAGGATGCCCCCGTCGCTGCTCGACAGCAGTTCTACACTGACATGTACTGTCCCATCTGTTTACATCAAGCCTCCCTCCCTGTTGAAACAAACTGCGGACACCTTTTTTGTGGTGAGCAAACAGCGCTAGACTTGGTAAAAGTGACAATACCTATACATATACATAGTCTGCATTCCTGATTTTTTCTTTGTCACATCTTGTATTTTGTGAGTGGGGTGGATTGCTTCTGATATCCTGCTCTACTTGTCAACAAAGTGTATTTAGCTTCTAAATAATATACTTATTTATTTTATATTGATTATTTAGCATCTGTGGCTTCAAAGGTTAAAAAAACTAATCAGTTTCTCAGTAAATAGAAACACATTTCTATTTCAAAGAAACAGAATAGTAGTTCTGTTCAAACTATTCTGTTTGAATAGTAGTTCAAGTATGTAAGTAGCATGGGGGAGTCACTGAATCCCTCCTTGTTCACTTTTGTTTCACATTTATTTATTCGCCCTTCGCAGGGCAGGAAGGTTCTCCTAGTACTTTATCCAGGACCAGCCCTTGGCTCTTGCACCTCTTTGTTCTCTGAGTTAGCATAAAGGGTCTCAATCTCTGTCTCTTCCTTTGTGACCTCAAGAGGGCTGGAAAGGAGAATGAGAAACACAGAGCACGTAGTAGAGTAAGAAGGGAATATTGGTTTCATACTTACTCAATGAGAGGTGCTTTCCACCACTCATTTTTCTTGACCCTCCAGAAAGATTTCATAGAGAATAATGAGATACCATATCATTATTGCTTATTATGGCCATATAAGATCAGAGAGGGGAAGTGTCAGTTATTACATGCCTGCTACATGCTGGACACTTAACATACTTCATCTCATCTGACCCTATAAATGAGGAAGCTGAGGCTCAGAGACATTAAAAATTTTACAAAGGGTAATCCAGCTGCTAAGTGACAGAGCCAGGTTTTTAACCCTAGGTCTGTCTTCAAGTCTGTGTTCAATTCTGCTGCATAATTGATGGTGAACACTCTGAGAGCTACTCAGTACTTACACTGTGCAATCACTATACCTGCTGGGTTTTTCTTTTGAGAGGGGGTCTTGCCGTGTTGCCCACACTGGAGTCCAGTGGCTGTTCACAGGCAGTCTTAGCCCACCATCAGCCTTGAACTCCTGGCTTCAAGTGATCCTCCTGTCTCAGCCTCCCAAGTAGCTGGGACTACAGCACAGCCACTGTGCCCAGCTTAGACCTATTTTTTTTTTTTAATTACATTCCTTTTTGTTTGAACAGCTGTGTTCAAGTAGGGTTTTATTGCTTTCAAAATATACCAAATTTTCGTATAGACTAATTTAAAATGTAGCATACAATGACCCTATAAACTGCTTTCTCCCTTTTGTCTAACTGCATCATATAGAGTTAATAGACACAGTGTTATTATTTCCAAGACCATACTGTGCACTGCAGGGTTTGCTGTGCCTTGTGCTCATTTAGTGATCCAGTCCCATTCTGGCTTCACCCATTAAATTCAATCTCTTCCCTAAGGTTTTTGACTGAGTAGCTAACAAATTATAAAATACTTATTTCAGTTTTAGTCTTTTAATTTTCTATGGGAAATGCTAATCTGCAGCAAAATAATGAAGGATCAGGTGGGGGACATTAAACGGCCATAAGAGAAGTCAGATCCCTTTCTCCTTTCCAACCCAGTCAATCTGACACTCCTCTGAGTCTGGATGTGGCCTCGGTCATCCTCTAACAGTACCCCACGCAGGTATTTGCAATCAGTGAGGTTCGTTGGCCAAGATGAACCTATCTGCCACCCCAGGCTTAGGTAATTCCCTCAGTGGATCGTCCTTTCAACTGAAAGATGACTGTTGTGTTCTTGGTTTTACCTCTGGGTCTGAGGTAATAGGGTAGATTGCTTCTGATACCCTGCTCTACTTGTTAGCCCTTTACTAGTGTCTGCAGGTTCAGAGGTTCAGAAAACCTAACTAACTTCTCAATAAACAGAGATGTGTTTCTTTAAATGGCAGTTCAAGTATATCAAGTATATACTATGTATATCGAAAGCACTTTAGCTTAGTTCCTATATATAGGACCACAGCTTTGTTCCCTTAGAGTGAGTTAAGAATAATAGCAACAACAGATAACACCTTATTTGCATTTGTAACCTACATTATTTTATTTAATTCCCTAGCAGTCTTGTGAGGTCTTACTCCATTTTACAAATAAACAGATTCAGAGAGATTGTGACAAGATTAACGTTACTGAAGTCATCTCTCCACCAGCCCATTTAGGTGGCTATCTCTCTATGAGAGGGAAAGTTGAGGAACAGGAAAACAGCAAGTGTATAATAGTGGATGCGCATGAACTGAAGTGTCTGGACTTGCTGAGCCATGGCTTTTCAGTGCAGGCAAGTGGCCGTTACATAATTTGCAAAACAAGGACACCTATACCCCAATTTATGGAAAAGACAATGTGAGATTAAATGAGTTTAATACATATCAAAATACATTGAGTTCTTGGGTGAAAAAGTGGTAGATAAATCTAAGACATCATTTCAGATGGTAATAATAGGAACAGATTGATAAGTTTTGTTTTCATATAGTTCCTATGAAATAAGATTACTCAAAGTACTTAATAAACATGATCTAATTAAAACAGCACTCTGAGAATTAAGATGATAGATATTGTTCAGCTTTAAATTCATCTTTAAATTGGTGAACAAGTTTTTCCTGACAGTCACTGGTGGACATCTGCCGGTTGACCATCATCCTCACACATCACTTAATCTGCTGTAGCATCTGCTCTTGCTGTTCATGCAGGGTCCTCCCTCCTGTTCTTCTGCCTGTCTCTATCTTACCTGTCCGGCAAAGTTCCGTTCAAATCGTTCTTCTAAGTTACTTTCTAATGCATCCTTCTCTGTACTCCTTTTGTACTTCAAGTTAGTATTACACAGTTCAAGATTAACTATTAATACCTTCTATTAATAATTGATTTAAGTTTGTCAACTTGGTCTCTTTAGTTGGATTGCCCTGACTTGTTCTGAATTATGAACACTTACTTGCTTTGGAGGAGGAAGTATAGGCACAGAGGAGAGCTGGGTTGGGTTAGTCAGGCAAGAGTAAGGACACAGAAAGCATCCTGGAGGGAGGGAGACTTAACGCTTAATTCAGACTCACAGTGGAACCTGGAGGGCTGAAAACACAGGTGTCCTGCAGAGAAGAAAATGAACTGCCCCCTTAAACAACGGACAATATTCAGAAACATTCCTCCATTAGTTATTAGCCTGAAGTCCAGTGCTTATATACTTGGCTCACCTGCCATTTTTCAAGGTGACATAGACCTTTCCTTTGTCCATTCTTAGTATTCTGCCGCTTATGAACACCTTTAAGCAGAAAATCAAATCCATCTGGTATAAGAGTTGATTCAATTATTGAAGTGGATTATAAACTTTATTAGGGTAGAGAGCATATAATCTTTGTATCCTTTGATTCCTTGCTCGTAATGCTTAATTACTATTAGTTAATACTTCAGGAATTGGTTTTCTAAACTCTTAAAAAGTTGTGTTTTCATAACATACATATCAAATTTAGAACAGAAAATTTATGCTCTGATTAGTTGGCTGTTATATCTACAATGATGTTTAATTATTGTTTTATTTATATTACATGGAAGTGCAGTATTTTCTGTGAAACCTCATAGCAGTAAGACAGTTAACACGTACTTGCTTTTGATTGTGTAAAATGTCTGTAGCTTAACTAGTAGTTTAAATAAAAATATTTTTTAATGGCTGGGAATTGTTTCTAGATATGAATATGCCTGAAAAGTTGGTTGGATGAAGTAAAAATATTTTTAAATAAAGTGATACTGTTAAGATATTTCAGATATTTGAAACTTTCTGAGGATATATGGACTTTAAAACATCAGTAATAACGGTTTTTTTCATTAGGTGCCTGCATTATTGCTTACTGGCGATACGGTTCATGGCTTGGGGCAATCAGCTGTCCAATCTGTAGACAAACGGTAATGTTTTATATCCAGAAAGCATCATTTATACTAGTTCATTTTGTAAATTTTCATAGTTTTTGTATCTAAAATTTGAATAACTTTCATCTTTTTAGCAGAACTTCATTTGTCCAAAGTTTCCATGTGTACCTTATTTTTTTAAAAACTGTCATTAAGATATCACCAAAAAAAGGATATTCTATTTGAAAATCCAACAGTCACGGTGAAAAACAACTGATAAGTGAATCTTTCTTAAAATCCTAATAAGTTTTTGTTGCAATACCAGCAAGGGACTGACTGAACCAGCTAATCAGGCTCAAGCATGTACCCCCTTACGCTTCCTTTGAAAAAAAATTGTGTTTCCTTTTTTATTTATATTTAATCTGCCTTTTTTCAGTGAGGGTCCAAATAGCTTTAAATAATGCATAATAATTTTTTTTAATGTTTCATTTATTTTAGAGACAGCCACACTGCACTATCCAGAACAGATCAGACCATTATAGCTAGTATAGAAGCCACTTCAGGAGGGAGGCAGTAAGTTTTTATAAGTGTAAATTTGAAGACTATTATAAAACGTCAGCACACATGAGATGTGCCTGAGTTTTCTCAATTTCTTTGACAAACTGGAGAAACAAAATACTGAACAATTCCGAGAAACCAAAGATCTTAGTTTTTTAATATGGCAGAACAGGACAGTCTATCAGTTGCACACAGTGTTTTATAATTTCCTTTATGCTTATTTTTCATTTAAAATAAAAATATCATAGTTCCCCCTTAACTGCAGGGGATGCATTCATACACACACGTGCACACACTTCACATTATTCTGGCTCTCTGCCTCCCCTGTTGCTGCCTCCTTGTTTTGCTGCAGAGAGGGAAGTCAGGTCCTTTTCTTCTTGCTTCTGCATAACTAAATCCTGACACTTTCACATTTGACTTTGTCCCACATGATCAGGAGGAAACCGATGTTTTCTGTTGTCTGTCTGCCTGATTGGCTGTGTGACACGAGGCAGTCCACACTGAAGCGCACTTGCCAATACCACCTCTTACCATCTTGCCTCTTTTGCCATCAGCCACAACACGGAGACCAGGTAGTAGGTCTTGCATTGAAGAATTAGTTCTACCCTCTTCGTGGCTCTACCCTTGGCTTTTCATAGAGCACACATATATGAGCTGGTGGTATCCTTTGTGCCGCTGATAAATTGATTGGAGGCTAGTAAGTTGTCTTAATAGCTCTCGGCTCCCCAACTGTAGAGTAATTCATCCTGGATACAAGACAGACGGCAGACACCTGTTCTACCTCCTGTTTCACTGGGCTCCTTTAGGAAATGGTGATGGAAACAGGAATGCACAGGCTGCTGCCTCTGACTGGAACACACTCACCACTTCTCCCCCGAGTGTGTCCACACTAACCCAAAACAGCCCTACCCACATTTCAAGGCTTAGCTCAAGTTTTGACTTTCTGGCCACCCCAGGCAGAAGAGGTTCTTACCCTCACAGCATCATCAGAACACCTACCAGATAACAGGCTGTTGACCAGGTCTGCCTCTGCTTTTATTTTGGGTGTTGTGGTCACCCAGGAGCAGGGTCGTGTCTTTTTTTTTTTTTTGTATGCCTCACACTTAGCACACTGCCTGCCAGTAGTAGGTGCTCCCATTAATGTTTATTGAAAGAATGCATTTTTATTAACAAACGTGTGAAGGAAGAGATGGCTGTACCTGCTGTTCCTACCACCTACCACACTTAGTCATTCTTTTGGTTAGCTGTTGTGGGAAGCCCTGGTTTTACAGCTGAACAGAGGAAGGATAAAAACAACAGCTAGATGACTTGAAACTAAATCTGTGATTACTCCTGCCCATTTTTATCTCCTTGTACAACTCATCAGTGACCATTTTCTATAGCAGTTTTATATTTTAAAATGTGTTTATTTTTCAGGGTACCATCTGTCACCTTCAGATTATCCCAGTATGGTTCTGAGACATTTGTATGTACTCTTTACCACAACCATGGAGGAAGCAAGGTTAAATGTATTGTTATATAACAGCATCGAAAATTACATTTTAAAAAAAATCATAGTAGGGATTGGTGTTTGAGAGCTGGTCCTTGCAGTAATTTAATCTCTAAATTATGGTTGGTAGCATTCAAAGATCTTTCAAATACCAGTGAGGATGAAGAATCATTAGTTTCATACCAAAACAGAAATCCATAATTTGGCTTTCTCAAAGTGATAGGTATATGTTTTATGTCACTTTGCTCCTGAATGTGTTCATATCTTCAAATATCTGTCAGCCCAGAGAACTACTGAATTTATCCCCAGTGTTGACGGGAAAATATTAGAACGAGTGTTTGGATATAGTGACTATTTTGTTTTATAGGAATTCAAATTACATTCTGCATTGGGTCTTATTATAAGGTAGTAGTAACTTCCCCTCTCACCCCCTGCTGCCAGGTTGCCTTTTTTAAAAGAAATGAGTAAAATATGAATTCAGATGCTTTTATCATTCTATTGAGTGACACAGAATTTAAAAAATGATACAGGAAGTTGAAACAATGTTTTTCCTGTAATGTACAGGTAACTTTACTCCTGACGGTATTTGATGAAGATGATCAGTCTCAGGATGCTGTACGATTGCATCAAGATATTAATGATTACAACCGAAGGTTTTCAGGGCATCCCAGATCTGTAAGTAATATTATAGCAGAGACAAAGTTGCAAAATAAGACTTACCAACAAGTATTCTTTGATTGTGAAAAATCTCATGTGTATTGGGACAAGTTTTTACCTTCATCATTGCCAATCACCAAGTTACAGCTTTCTCAAGGACTGCAGTTTTCTTTGTTAGAACACAAACAAAAAGCATTATAAAAATCTTTAAGAAAGAAAAACTAGCAAAAGAGCAATAGGAAAAATTGGAGGGAAATAGAAAATTATTGACTTCTATGTGATTCTAAAACAATTTGTCTTATGAGAAAACTTACACATGAAAACTTGCAACTGAATACTTCTAGACAGTTTATAACTGTTTTACTCTATTTCCTTTACCCCAGCCCCTGTTTGAAATGTTCCCTTAAATAACTCAGGCTTTGGGGGATTTTTTTATATGTCATCTTAGCTAATCAAAAGCATTCTGTTTTAAAAGAATACATTAATTCTATAGTTGACCTCTTCTCCCTCTGCCCCAAAGCATTTAATAGATTAAAAACTGTTATATGTTACTGACTCATTCTGGTTTTCTTAAAATCTAACAGATGATTTTAGAAGTATGTGTATAACTTAATAAGTAATTCAAAAACTAGAATACACTGAGTATAAATTTATGCGGAAAGCCCAGATCTCCCCTCGGAGCTGCTTCAGCTTGGCTCCCAGCAGAGGCTTTCTATAATAAACAGCTATCTCTTTTAGTTTATCTAGCAATCATCCTTATTGCACATAAATCCTCAATTAGCTGTTGAATTATCTCTAGTCAGTAAACAACTATTCCCAAGATCACTCGGCTAATAAATGATTTTGAATTCAAACCCAGATCTGTTTGACCTTAAAGTTTGAGCTCATGCCTTAGACTTTAATCCTGTATACCAGGTTCTTTGTTTTATTAATAGTTTACTAACTCAAATTAGACATAACTTGAGTTTTGAGTTAATGTAACCCACATTTTAGGATCAATGACACTTTAGTTGCTTTTCAATTATCTGTAATAAGACCTATTTTATAAGAACTTAGTATTCAAAGAACTATATTTAAATAAAATGTATAATTACAAAATATGAGGCTGGGCACAATAGCTCAGGCCTGTAATCCCAGCACTTTTGGAGGCCAAGGTGAGAGGACTGCTTGAGGCCAGGAGTTTGAGACCAGTCTGGGTAACATAGTGAGGCCCCATCTCGACAAAAAATTTAAAATATTGTCTGGGCATGGTGGTGCATGCCTGTAGTCCCACCTACTTGGGAGGCTGAGCTGGGAGGATCGATGGCTTCAGCTCAGAGTTCAAGGTTTCAGTGAGCTGATTGTGCAACTGTACTCCAGCCTGGGCAACAGGGCGAGACCTTGTCTCTTAAAAAAAAAAAAAATGGTGTTCAATCAATATGTGAATTTCCTTAATTCATCTTAACTGGCATATTATGAGAAAATTACATTATTTTGAAATCTGCCATATGATGCTAAATCCTAATATTTGTTTCTTCCCCCTACCAGATTGTGGAAAGAATTATGGATCTCCCCACTTTACTGAGGCATGCATTCAGGGAAATGTTCTCAGTCGGGGGCCTTTTCTGGATGTTCCGCATTAGGATAATACTTTGTTTAATGGGAGCTTTTTTCTACCTTATATCACCTCTAGATTTTGTGCCTGAGGCCTTGTTTGGAATTCTAGGCTTTCTTGATGATTTCTTTGTTATCTTTTTGTTGCTTATCTACATCTCTATTATGTATCGAGAAGTAATAACCCAAAGGCTAACCAGATGAAAAAAAATGAGTTTACTGGATTAAAACATGTGAGCTAATGTATAAAATCAAAAGGGCCCATGGCAGTATGAAGCATATGAATATTATCTTACAAGCTTAAAACCACTATATGACAAACATGTGATTATCATTTGACAAATGCCGAGGAATATATAACTGGAACTTCTACATGTCACAGGTTCTAATGTTTAGAATTATAATGATCTACAGTTATATCTTGATTCTGTGTTATTTTGAAAAAATATGGAATTACATAAAAAGGGATGCTTTTATATCTTTTTCTTTTCCCTAAAATTACTTAAATTGGATGTATAGTGAGATATTGTTAAATGTACTGTTTATCCAATTTATCCTCCTCAGTGGGTACCTATCTGATAATATATAGTTATAAAACTCATCTAAATATTTTTGTTACAATAAAATCTTATACAATTTGGGGGAAAGTCAGTGTTCTTTGAGTGCTGGCTCAGTTTTGTGCATTTGGAGCAGTTCTGCTTTTTCATTCTGGTATAATTCTTTGTTATCAGCTAAAACTGAAAGAAGAAACTTGAACTTTATAATTTGATTTCATATTCTGGTTTACAGAACACTTTTTAATCAATAGAGAAATTAAGATGAAAAACATTTATCTCCAGTCAGCATACTTGATGTTTGCAGTTACAACATTTAAACAAGAGTTTGGTCCTTTTGTAGATATAAAGTAACTTATAAAGAGAAAAATTTTTAGGAACCTGTGTGATACTGCAAACACATAGTAGTCTGAGGCATTTCTGAGGAAAGTGGCTCTTCATATCTTTAAGCATCAAAGCCTTTAGGAAGGCTGGGAACACTATTTAAATTTGACAAAAGAATTTACTGGTTAGCTCTAGCAATAGTTGGACAAATTTGGTTTTCTATTGTCTGGAAATGTTTGTAAGTCTCTCGAGATGGCAACATCATGTCTTACGCAGAGTGAATGAATGTGTCAGAGAAGAATCAACACCGCAAGTGTTAGGAGACCCTTCCTTCGGCTGCAGTGCTCATAGGGAAGTCAGGACAGCAGGACGTGAGGCGATGCCCAGGAGTGAGTGCGAGCGCTGCCACCTGCAACCCCTGATGCTGTTACTATCCACTCATTAGTGAGCCTCACTATGTGTAACAGAAAATAAGGAGAAAATCTGTCACAGTCTCCCAGATTAATCAGATTAGCCATCAAAACAAATGAGATTCTGAATGAAACATAAATCTGTGTTTTCTAATTTGGACCTAAGACAACAGTAATGCTTATTAGCTAGAGCACATCATACTTAAAGCAGGTTCTCGCACACTTTTCATTTTATCCTTAGGCCAATTCTGCGAGGAGGGCAGGGCATCACCTTCCTCTTCACAGATGAGATGCCATGCTAGCAATGAAAGTTTCTTGCCTGAAGTCACACAACAAATAAGTGACTGAACTGGCATTACCCTTAGTAGGACTCCTGCATAGGATGTTTAGATAGATAGACATGAAGGTCACTATGACGAGGAGAAGGAAGAGAGAAACGGATCCACTGGAAGTCTTTCAGAGTATGTTGTTCCTTCATCAGAGCAGGACAGTAGGTGCTCCTAGGAGGAAAGGCCTAGAGGGTTGACACCTCGGGACTGCGTGACCTAAGTCGACACTAACAGTCAGATAGATGTCTGACATGGCGGCACACGTCACAGAAAAGCATTTCAGCTGCGGCCACCGCCGTGAAAAGCAGAGGAGTAGGGTTTTGTCACGCCACTATTTACACCAGACTGGAAATGCATTTTCCACCAGTCACAGATGTGGCGTGGCACTGCGGCAAGGTCGTTTCTTACGGGATTTTATTTTCTGTGCATGTGTTTGGTTCCAAGTGTCACATTTTGGTTATAATTTTATTGTAATATTTGGAATTACTACTAAGATTTTCTTTCCTGATATAAAAGGTATATTGAACCAACTTTTGTAATGTACAAAAACACTGTATGAGCTGAAGTGTTATGAAATTGAAAAGGCATGGGCTGACATCTCAGAAATTTAGAGCTGTTTGTCGTCACCTCTGCGGATCACTGAGGATAAATGCAGAAGGAATCAGAATATGTAAAGCAAGTGGAGTCAATCAATGTTTTAAAACATCATAGTAATACTTCTGTGATTCAGAGTTAGATCATATAAATCAAAGCAACAATTTGCATTTTTTTAAACAATATTGTAACTGTCACAAAAACAGATGGTCCAACCCCAGGAGCAGATAATAACTTGGGCAGCTCTGTGGGGAACAAGACGGGTGAAAACTGTTCTAATTGCCCCCTAGAACAGTGGTTTCAACCACTGTAATTCTCAGTGTTTGAGAGGAACAAGGGAAGAAAGAACTTTTACTGATCCCTTGTGGCTGTGCAGATACCTACCTCACAGAGTTGTTGTAGAAGATTGCAATTTAGTTCAAATTTTGTGATTGAAACTGTCAAGTATTTTATTCTTTTGAATAAAAGCAACATATCTAAAAATTGTTTAAAGGTGTTATTTTTCTGTTTCTTTAATATTGTTTGCTTTAAAATTCAGAACTTTTAAAAGAGCATTCAGTATAATGGTTGTAGTGGCTTTCTTTATCACTAATGGACATCCAATATCTCATCACCTTTCTAATTAATTTTGCTTAAACATTTTTAAATTTAAAAAGTAGAAAAGAATTGTGTTTTGTTTTTAGGGAAAATTATTTAATCTGGGCAATCTATATTAATTCCAGACAATAAGGTCAGCATTTAAGTTAGAGATTAGACCTCTAGTTGACTTCCCATCCCCATTTCTTTTGATTGTATATATTTTTCTCTTTTTTTCTTTCTTTCTTTTTCTTTTTTTTGATTGTATATTTAAACTGTATATTTGCTAACAGACATTTTCTTTTCTGAGTCTGGGCCCTCACATTTGCATCAACCCCTTCCCCTCCTCCCCCTGCTCTCTGAAACACCAAATGTCCTCCAGGCCCTTCCATTTTGCTAATCAGCCACCCATATACCAGGGGCTTGATGGGCTCCTTAGAGTAGGAAGAGGTATTTAAGGATTTTAAGCCCTGAGACTTAAGAATCTCTCAGAACCAGGACAGTAGGCTTTAAGGACTGCCAACAGAGGCAATACTATTACAGAGATACAGTATTTGAGCCAGTTGTTGTTCTGTTAGAACCAGACTACCTTCACGCATCAATATTTGTTCTAAGCATTGAGTCTTTGAGTCCAGACAAATCTGAAGTGTTATCAGTCACTGTCATCCTTGCCCACCTGCATCCTCTAACTTGTCCCATGCCCCAAAATGGTCATAAGAGGAGTAAATGCCCCAATAGGAAAAACAGCATTTTTGGACACTGTCCTTGCTAGTACTGGCCTTATTCTCTTTCAGACAAGTGGTATTTAGCTGTAGGCCTTTTGGTAGTATGTGATATAGGAGAGGGTTTAAGAGCTAAAGATGTTTTAAAGTCACTGATACCTGGCCGGGTAATCCTAGCACTCTGGGAGGCCGAGGCAGGCGGATTGCTCCAGGTCAGGAGTTCGAAACCAGCCTGAGCAAGAGCAAGACCCCGTCTCTATTATAAATAGAAAGAAATTAATTGGCCAACTGATATATATAGAAAAAATTAGCCGGGCATGGTGGCGCATGTCTGTAGCCCCAGCTACTCGGGAGGCTGAGGCAGAAGGATTGCTTGATCCCAGGAGTTTGAGGTTGCTGTGAGCTAGGCTGACGCCATGGCACTCACTCTAGCCTGGGCAACAAAGTGAGACTCTGTCTCAAAAAAAAAAAAAAAAAACAAAGTCACTGATATCTAATATTCTAGATTTTAATTTAAAAACACCATTTAGAGAATAAAACTAAAAATACCTGATATTCAGATCAAAACTGTAACCCTTCTTGGAGGTTACTAATAGTAGATCTTGGAGAAAACCTAGAATTTATGTCTACGTACATACCTAATGCAATGTAAATGCTACATAAATAGTCGTTATTTTTTATTATTACTGTATTCTTTTTTATTGTTTGGGATTTTTGTTTTGGAATATTTTCAATCCACAGTTGGTTGGGGTTAGGGCCCTCATGAATGGGTTTAGGGCTGCTAGAAAAAGAGAGAGGAGAGAGATGAGCCAGAGACTCTCTCGGCCGTGTAAGGGTGTGGGTCTAGCAGGCAGTGAGACGTGGCCCATCAGCAGAACCTGTACCCTGATCTTGGACTAAACCGCCCAACCTGGGTATTTTTGGTATATCCATGGGATATGGAGGGCCAACTGTGTTTGTGTAATCTTGCATTCATTTTCAGGAGATTCAAAGACCTGACCATTTGCAGGTTCCAGATTAAATTCCTTGTTTAGTGCCATAGCCTTACTCTACAAATGAAGACAATGAGGTCCAGAGCCTGAGTGCTAGGGTATTTTAAAATAAAAATTGTTGACAGAAAAAGAAGTTGGCATCTTAGCTCAGCCTGCTGTACCAAAATGTAAGCATCTTTAACAAAAAAGGGTAATTTTGCATATCTCATGTAGCCCTTGTTGAACAAGCTATTTTATATTAAGTATAACAAATACCAAAATTTTATAAACCACAAGAGTCAGACAATGAATGATCATAAGTAAACAAGCTGGCCATCACCCCGTTCATTGCCTCTTCCCCCAAGAGTAAACCTCTCCTGACTTTAGTTTTACTTTACAAAATGAATCCTACAGCACGTTTTCTCTTGCGTCTGACTTCTTCAACACTACGTGACACGCTGTGGGCTTTATCGCAGTTGCTGACCAGTGCGCCCCTGTGGACTGTGTGACAACTTACTCATTCAACCACCAATGGAGACTGGGGTTGTTTCCATCAACTTTAAAAGGCGGCACAAACACCTTTAAAAGTAAAAACGGTTCCCTACAACACCCCTTGACAAGAACAGCTATTCCAGCCTTAGAAATGCTATGAAAATGGGCATAGTAGGAAGATGAAAAACAGACAACAGGTATGTTAGTTTACAGGAGGTGAAAATTATTTTTCTATTAAGAAAATAAATTAATTTGCAGAGCACACAGTGAAAATTTTAGAGATGTTTTACAAAGCAAAATTTTCAACATTTAATTCAAATTTTTAAAAAATTATATGCAATTCACCATCCCAATAAGTACCAGTAAATTTACCATGTGTAAGTTAGGAAATATTAGGATTATATTCAACAGCTAGTAAAAGCGTTTTTTTGTTTGTTTGAGACAGAGTCTCTGTTGCCCAGAATAGAGTGCCATGGCGTCAGCCTAGTTCACAGCAACCTCAACCTCCTGGGCTCAAGCGATCCTCCTGCCTCAGCCTCCCAAGTAGCTGGGACTACAGGCATGCGCCACCACGCCCAGCTAATTTTTCCCTATATATTTTTAGTTGTCCAGCTAATTTCTTTCTATTTTTAGTAGAGACTGGGTCTTCCTCTTGCTCAGGCTGGTTTCCAATTCCTGGCCTTGAAGCAATCCTCCCGCCTCAGCCTCCCAGAGTGCTGGGATGACAGGCCTGAGCCAACTCGCCTGGCCAAAAGCATGTATTTCATTTCCAAGTTGCGGATGACTAGAAGCCAGAAAACAAGAAAAGGTAGCAAAGGAGGAGAACTTGGCTGAGGAGTAATCCAGACTGACTGGTTTCCCGCTAGATTGATTAATGATCACAAACACCGAAAGTGTGCTCCAGGCTGGGCGATCCTTGCGCACTTCTCTCGAGCCTTGCACTTCCAGCCTCTGAGCTATTATACTTCCTTTCTCTTCCGACACTCCCCAGCCCTGCAACCCGCAGCCCAGTTTCCTAAATCCCTTCTCCCCTCCTCCAAGCCTTTTATCTGGTTGGGGGGAGTAGCTCCCTTCTTTTCTCTAAAGGCCATCTGCAAAAGGGCACCACTGCCCATCCCTCTCAGTGCTCCCAGAAACTCAAGCTCAGGTCACCCTCGCTATCTTGGCTCCTCTCTTCCTCATTCTCGCACGAATCGACCCACCTGCAAGCCTCAGCACTTCCAGCACCAGTGTAGACTGACCTCGAATCCGACCACACTGTGTCCTCTGCTCCACCTCGACTGAGTCACTGACATGCCCTGCCTCTCAGCTGGTCTGCCTGCTCGCGCTGTTGCCTGCTTCTGATACACTCTTCACACAAGAGTCAGAATAACCTTTTTAAAATGTTCGCTAGATCACGTCTCTCCCCTACCTAAAATGGTTGAGTCTTCCTGCTGCACCTAAATCCAAACCAACCCCTTCCTAACTTCTTCGACCTCGGGTCATGCCCTTCTGCCCACTCCCTGCCCCCCTCCGCAGTCTCCGTCCAGTTCCCAGAACACACAGAACCCCCTGCCTGATAGACCATGGGAAGGTCACTATGACGAGGAGAAGGAAGAGAAACGGATCCACTGGAAGTCTTTCACAGTATGTGTTCCTTCATCAGAGCAGGACAGTAGGTGCTCCTAGGAGGAAAGGCTAGAGGGTTGACACCTCGGGACTGCGTGACCTAAGTCGACACTAACAGTCAGGTGTCTGACATGGCGGCACACGTCACAGAAAAGCATTCAGCTGCGGCCACGCCGTGAAAAGCAGAGGAGTAGGGTTTGTCACGCCACTATTTACACAGACTGGAAATGCATTTCCACCAGTCACAGATGTGGCGTGGCACTGCGGCAAGTCGTTTCTTACGGGATTTATTTTCTGTGCATGTGTGTTGTTCCAAGGTCACATTTGGTATAATTTTATTGTATATTTGGATTACTACTAAGATTTTCTTTCCTGATATAAAAGGTAATATTGAACCAACTTTTGTAATGTACAAAAACACTGTATGAGCTGAAGTGTTATGAAATTGAAAAGGCATGGCTGACATCTCAGAAATTTAGAGCTGTTTGTCGTCACCGGCCCTGCGGACACTGAGGATAAAGCAGAAGGAATCAGAATATGTAAAGCAAGTGGAGTCAATCAATGTTTTAAAACATCATAGTAATACTTCTGTGATTCAGAGTTAGATCAATAAATCAAAGCAACAATTTGATTTTTTAAACAATATTGTAACTGTCACAAAAACAGATGGTCCAACCCCAGGAGCAGATAATAACTTGGCAGCTCTGTGGGGAACAAGACGGGTGAAAACTGTTCTAATTGCCCACTAGAACAGTGGTTTCAACCACTGTAATTCTCAGTTTGAGAGAACAAGGGAAGAAAGAACTTTTACTGATCCTTGTGGCTGTGCAGATACCTACCTCACAGATGTTGTAGAAGATTGCAATTTAGTTCAAATTTTGTGATTGAAACTGTCAGTATTTTTCTTTTGAATAAAAGCAACATACTAAAAATTGTTAAAGGTGTTATTTTTCTGTTTCTTAATATTGTTTGCTTTAAAATTAACTTTTAAAAGAGCATTCAACGGTTGGCTCATGCTTAATCCTTACCTTGGGAGCGAGCGGCATCTCATCAGGAGTTCAAACAGCCTGACAAAGCGATGCCGTTTATATAAATAGAAAGAAATAATTGCGA